TGCATGTAACATAGTTTTCTTCATTTTAATTCCCAGTACTTTCTCTCTCCGACTTCTTTCCTCTGATCCCCTTCTTCTTTTCTATGGGTCTTTCTTCTGTCTGTCTGTCTATCTATATATCCATCTATCCTGTCCTCCCTCCCCCATCTACTCTGTTGATGTCCCTTCTATTTTCATGAGAGCTCCATTTTTTATTCATTTTTTTCTCTTTAGCTGCTATATCTGAGAGAAAATGTTTGACCTTTGACTTGATCTGACTTATTTCACATAATATGATGTTCTCCATTTCCATTCATTTATAAAGGACATAATTTCATTCTTGTTCATGGCTGTGTATATATAACATTTATATTACATTATATATTATTTATTATAACATACATGTTGTGTATATATAACATTTTCTTTATCTGTTGGTCTGTTGATGGGTACCTAAACTGGTTCCATAATGTGGATATTGTGGATTGTGCTATTTTAAACATTGGTATGCATGTATTACTATAGTATGCTGATTTTAGTTCTTTTGGATAAATATCAAGGAGTGGGTCATATGGTAGTGGGATCATATGTAGTTCCATTCCTAGTCTTTTGAGGAACCTCCATATTGTTTTACAAAGTGGCTAGCTTATTGGATTTTAGATTTTTGTCATCCAGCAAGGCTGCAGTATTATAAACCTGTTTTCTTCCAGTACTGGGGATTGAACCCAAGCATGTTCTACACTGAGCTATACCCCCTTCCCTTTTTATTTTTTATTTTGAGTGAAGATCTTACTAAGTTTCCCAGGCTGGCCTTGAAGCTGAGATCCTCCTGCATTAGTCTCCCAGATGGAAGGGGATATAGGCATGCACTACCATGCCCTGTGGTATTGTTTTAAAGGAAAAATTATGAAGAGTAAACAAAAGTCACATTTAATAGTAATGAAATGATTATGAAATAACATGCTTCATTTTTTAGAAAGAATTCTTTAAAAAGATTTTTTTTTAGTTGTAGATGGTCATAATACTTTTATTTTATTTATTTATTTTTACATCGTGCTGAAGATCAAACCCAGTGCCTCACATGGGCTAGGCAAGTGCTCTACCACTGAGTTACAACCTCTAGAAAGAATTCTTTAATCTAATTGCTCATTGGTGCCTAACTGCTCTTAATCAAAATAATCCCATTGATATACTTTTCTAAACGTGTCTTTGTGTGAAGTATTCATTCCTTTATTGTGTACCAAGGACAATTTCCTTTAAAAAGCTATTTGTACAAAGTTAATACTTTTAAAATGTGTAAAATTTATTTACAGACTTTATTTTCATCATTTTATTTCTTAATAAAAGGAAACAATTCCTTTCAACTTAATTTCTTGAGCACACATGGACATATTATCTACCTACTCTTTCATTTAGAGAAGAAAAACCCTCAGAGCTACCTCATACCCATCATGGCTACCAGTGATACATGTCAAAAAGATTTTCTGTAAAGTTCTTAATTCAGGTAGTGCAGAATGGAACCAACATTATTAATAATAGTGAAAGTTGCCCCCCCCCAAAAAAAAACTGCACTGTCTGTTCACCAGCTCAAGACTAACATATGACTGTCCCTATTTGTATTGTGGAATTGAAAGATGGGAGTGACAGATTGATAATAGTGGAAATAGACAAAGAAAAAGAAAGAGGAACGTAAAGAATAAAAGGAGAAAGTGCAAGAGAAGCCAAAGGGAAGGAGTGTCACTCACTCCAAACATGTGGAGTGTCATTCACTGATTTCTTCAATAATTCACTTGGCAAATATTTACTTCATGCCTAGTATATAAGGCTCTTGGTCATAACAAGAGAATCAAACAAGTCCTTGTGCTCATCTCATGAATAAGACTGTCATTTCATCCCTTGAACTAGTAGAAAAGAGGATGAAACAAAAGATAAGCTAGACTAGAATGGACAAAGAGATATGACCTGTTCCATACAAAGATGGGACACCTAAGGACAAGAGGATGGAAGATTGACTTCTACTCAATCCCATTCATGGCCCAGAACTCTACCCGTCTCTCCCCCTCCACATCCACAGGGTCCCTATGAGTGGTTTCTGGCAGCTTCCCTGACCCTTTTCTGGATGTTGGTCCTCTGGAGATGCTGAGGACCACATCCACATAGCCATCCATTTGAAATAGGCCTATGTGTCTTCTATGTACCAGGCATTGTGCCAGCCATGGTGAGAGTGAAATACTGTCTCTTCCCTTTGAGTATCTTACAGTCTGGTTGTGTATGGTGGCAAGTAAATGGGTAAATAATGATCTGGTGTGAGCCCTGCTACTAAAGGGATAAATAAGAACCATGTAATGAAGATAAAAGTTTTACCAGAGGAAGAGACTACCACCTTGACATTTTCCCATTAGCTCTTCCTCTTTGAAGAGAAAAGTTTTACCAGAGGAAGAGACCACCACCTTGACATTTTCCCATTAGCTCTTTCTCTTTGAAAATGCCATCAGAATAAACCTATTTTGGAAAAACTTTTAATTTGCTTCATAGTTCAAAAAATTTTGGTTTGATTCAAAAGTTAGCAAATTAGATCTGTTTGATCTGGGTTTTTTTTTTGATGGTGGACTATTTCAGCTTAAGTTCTAGTATGCTTTAAAATATGTGTTAAAATCCATGACTCTCCTCCAAAATGCATATCCATATCCATTTTAAAATGTTTAAATTTTAAAAAACAGAATCTTTTGTCCTGTATTTTTATCATCCATTTTATGTGTGTGTGTATAAACACATAAATGTGTGTGTATATGCAATACACTGTTGCAGTTTAAGGCAAAACAGATGCTCATAAAGTAACTTAAATGGCATTTGTCTAAAATATGTGCATATATACCAATTTATTTCCTGATTTGAAAATGCAATTTTATTAGACTTTTACAGGAAGAACGCCAAATTGTGGTAGGTTGCACTGGATTTCATGAAAGAGCTATTTGGCACAGTGGAAGAGCCTCAGAAGACAGGACACTTTCATATTTTGTGTTGTTTCATATAAACTTGATTCAGAGAAATTTGTTCTTACTGCTTTTTCCTTTATAGAACTTTATAACAAGTCAGCATCCATTTGTGGCTCTAGTTCATCTCAAGTCTGTAACGACCTCTTCTGCTTTCTTTTTGATAGGCTTTATTATGTTCTATCCTAAATTTATATCACCAGCCCTAACTGTCCCCATGGACTCCATTGGCTTACTCTCTGGCTTGACTTGGATATTAAATGGGCCATTTCAAATTTAACATGACTAATACAGAACCATGGGACATTCTCCCTGCTCCCTGCAACCAAGCCCATGCCTTTTACATCCTTCCTCACCTTCATGAGTGGCAGCTGTATTTTTCACTTGTTCAGGCCCAAATTCAAGCATTATCCTTGACTCTTTTTATTCCCCATAAACAGCTCTCCAGCAAATCTCTTGGCAGTGCTAACCAACATGTTCCCACTTCTGTTGCTACCAACATCCAAGCCACCGTCATTTCTCACTTGGGCTATTACAGTGACTGTGTTCTCTACTCCTATCCTTGCTTTTTAATAGCATATTTTTACCCAACAGCCAGAGTCATCCTTTCATAACAGAAATCCACTCATTCCTTGGCTCTGAATCAATCCAGGGACTTTCTGTCTTGCTCAGAACACAATCCAAACACAGCTATCTGGCCTTGTATGATCTAAATACCTCTCTGATCTCATCTTACCCTTCTTACCCACTCTGCTTTGTCCACCCCAACCTTCCTACCATTACCCTGGGTACCCATGAACACTCTCACCACAGGGCCTTTGCAGTTGCTCCTTCTCCTGACATGAAATTAAACTGCCTAAGTATGAATGTGCTCATTTCTCCTGTCCCTTCAGATCACTGCTTAAATGTCACCTTACCCTAAGGAGCTTTCTTCACTTTTTTTCCCCTCTCCATTTTACTTTATCTTATTTCTCTCTTTAGCATTTATCCACATGTGATATTTTTCTGTTGTTGAGTTAAAAAAAAAATCTGTCATTCCACAGAACTTAAGTTCTCTTAAGACAAGTACCTTGTTCTCTTCTTCATTGCTCGTGCCCTGACATCTGTCTTGGGCAACATTGTGTGGCCAAGACCTAGATTTTCTCATTCCAAGTTCAGTGCTCTTTCCATGATTCTGTGTGGCGTCTCATACACTGACCTTACTACACAAATAAGCACAGTGATCTTCCCTTCCTTCCTTGCCTGGCACTAGGGATTGAACCCAAGGGCTCACAACACACTAGGCAAGCACTCTACCTCTGAGCTGCATTCTCAATTCTTCTTAATTTTATTTTGAGATAGGGTCTTGCTAAGTTGACCCAGGCTAACTTCCAATTTATAATCCTCCTACCCCAGTATCCAGAGAAGCTGGGATTACAGGCATGTGTCACCATACCCACATGTCTTTTATTTCTTTTTCTGTATCCCCCAAAGGATAAGAGACACATAGCCAGTGAGGGGTCCCATGTAAAGGGGTCCCTAGTAAAGGTCATGGCTTGACTGAATGACTTCCTGTGCTTATGGTCTGTGATCAGTTTGGGTCATAAAATCACTCAGAGTGTGCTTTACTCTTTGTAGGACTAGAAGGCTGCTATAGTTTTCAGACTCAGTGGCATTTGGAAACTGTAGGCAGTTTGAGTGAAAAATATAGGTAGAGTATAGTTCTCAATAAGTAGCTTATTTATATTCTGAATTTTGAACATTTCATCCAATTTTGGGAATTGGGGTGGTGAGACTACAGTTAATAGTTGCTGGGATGATGCAAGCCTGTTTCTCCTCCTCCCAGGATGTTGATATTTCTATACTTAAACACCTGTTGTCTTCATGGGGAGTGTGCCCCAGAGCTCTTTTGCAAATCAAAGAGCATCCATGTTCGACTTGGATCTTTCCAAAAGAACTTTTAAAAGGCTCCCATTTTTATTTTGAATGTTTTTATTCTCTTCTTACTGAAGTTTAGTCACACTGATTCTCTCCCCTTTGTTTTTGCAGGTGATCTGCAACTCTTTCACCATCTGTAACGCGGAGATGCAGGAAGTTGGTGTTGGCCTGTACCCTAGGTATGGCTGATGGTATTTCATTGACTAAAAGTCACATCATTAATTCCTACCCAGTTCCCCAGCCTTTTGGAGGTAGAAAGGCTGTCGCAGCAGCTGGCTTAAGAGTCAAGCTCAATACCTAGTGATAAATTATAAGATGTAAAAATGTTAAGTCATAAAACTTCCAAACCACATTATATGCTGTGGTATTCATGAAGAGGAGGATCTCAGACTCAAATTCTTGTTCTTAGTGGGGTTTGGGGAAGGAAGTTGAGGATTGTGGTGCTCACTAACCATCAGGCTGAGGTTTGGTTTTTTTTTCCCCAACACCTACCCTTATCTTATTCCCAACCTCCTGGGCTCAAGCACAGAATGCTTTCACCAGATTTGCTGTCCTGTACCAGTGGGTTTAATTTTGTCTTTTGAGCCTCTTCACTCAAGGAGGCAAGAAAACTTTCAAGGTTGGGCCTCTGGAGGGTTCTACTATGGTGATCTCTCTCCCCAAGCTACTAGACTATTCTCCTACAATCACTCCTACTTTTGTTTTGTTTTTTTTATTATTAGGTCCCATATATAAAACACCCTTTCTTATAATGAAACTGTGAATAAGAGAATTCAGCTTCTTATTTCTCTCCAGTGCCATTAGCTGTAGATCAGTTCTGTTGATAGTGATTCTCAAAAAGCAGGAACATAGGATGTTCAAAGCATGGGCTCTGAGTTTAGACCACGAGTTTCAGATTCAGTCACTACCTTACTAGGTGTATGTTCTAGGGTAAGTCATTTAACTTCTGTGTATCAGTCTCTTTAATTATAAGTGATCCTTTTAAGGTTGTTGTGATGACTGAATTTATAAAAACATGCTGAAGTACTTTCTACATAGAAAATGCTCATTCTGATTATCACTATATGGTGGCAATGTAAATTCATTCCATTTCCCATGTGGTAAAAAAAATAATGTACCTCCAAGATAATAAGATGACTAGGCTGTGGTTCAGAATGCAGCAGGATCTATATAGCAAGACTGCCTTAGCTTACTATATTAGAGGAAGTCCTCCTAATTATTCTTCAGTGTGGAAGACTAGCATAGGCTGCTGTTCCTCCAACAGAGCTCAACAAATGAGATCCTCTGGGGGCAAGGTCAGTATAACCTTGGCTGCAGTGATTGCTGCTGCAACCTATTATCTTAGAGACACTCTCTTTGCTAGTCCGATTTCCCCCCATTTCATGTTGGGTACCTAATGAAACAACTACCTCCTCACCCCTATCCCCGAAAGGACTAAAACCAAAAAGTTTTTATTAACCAACTTCCCTAATTATCCTCCATCTTGGGAAGCATTTTACTTCATATGAAGTGGGCATGTGACATTTCTGTGAATGCATCCTCAGCCCTCAGTGCACTCTGAACCTAACCCGTCTCTGTCCAAACCAGCCTATAGTGTCTTTGCACATGGCATTTATTAAATGTAGCTGTTTGACTCTATCGACTGAGCCATGATGGTCACCCTTATTTTAATTTTTTCTTTCCTTTAGCATGTCCTTGCTCAACCACAGCTGTGACCCCAACTGTTCGATTGTGTTCAATGGGCCCCACCTCTTACTGCGTGCCGTCCGAGACATTGAGGTGGGAGAGGAGGTAAGGAAATCTGTGCTTCTCATTACCTAGCCTCTTTTCCTATGAAAGAATCTTTCAGTGTGGTCATCCTAAAACCATTTGTGCTCTAGAGAAGCTTTCCATTTTCCTTCAGCAATGGGAAGATATGGGATACCAGTCTCCTCTGTCCAGAAACCTATCATATGCCAACTATGGAAGGGCTTTATTTTTCAATTGTCATATTTCTGGATGATGATATAGTTCTATTGCACATATATGAGAAGTGTTTATGTGTGTGACAGAGGGTGTGTGTTTTATGCACATGCACAGGAGTCATTAAATCTTCTCAATAGCAACAGCTCAGCAGCCTGTCACATCTCTGCAAATGATCATTCTTCTGTGGGTAGGGCAAGCGGCCCAGCTTGTGAATAGTATGCTCAGGACATACTTATTCTCAAGGCTGCTAATTGCATTTTGAAGATAATTACACATTTAAAATCCCATGTTAAGAAAGCAGACAGGTTTTACTCTTTTTGGCTGTCATTGGGGCTTCACAAACCCATCAGCATCTCTGGATAATTGTTTAAGCAAAGATGCAGAGGGAATGGAGGACTGGGAACATGACCTCCAGCAATAAATTGTTCTTGACCCTTCCAGTTTTATAGACAGTCAAGTCAGTCTCTTTTGATGAGGAAACTTTGCAGAAGCCTGAGATTACTCAAGATATCTTGTCTTCATATAAGTTGTTCCAGGGCTACTGAACCTGAACCTGCATAGAGTTGCTTAGTTACCACCTGTGTTTAGTTCTTGGTTGTAGATATTTATGTTTTGTAGGATCCAGTTTCCTTCTACCTTCTAATTTGCTAAAGTGGATATTTATTGTAAAGAAAACAGAGATTTTATTGCACTTACTCAGCATACAGCTCATAAAACCTAAATTCAGAGGTATCATGTTTTATGAAGACAGGGATTTGGCTTTGACAAGACTCCTTCCAAACTGATTTTCAACCAAATAAGGTTCTTCTTACACAGCAACTTGGTGAATTTCCGGTTTTTAAGACCAGTTCACTAAGTATATCAGGCTATTTGTCAATGATATAGAGAATTTGAATTTAGTTTTTTGGGGCCGTATGTGACTTCAAGGCAGGTAAGAAAGTGAACTACCATCTATTTTTGGCAGTATCAATTTAGAGACTGAAGAGTGGCTGCTACTGTTATTGATGATGATGGTGGTATTTTAGTGAACTTTGAACAGCTAAACAAGGGCTGGGGCATAGTTCAGTGGTAAAGTGCTTGCCCAGCATAGACTAGGTTTAACTCATGAGGTCCTAAATTCATTTTCCAGCACAACACCCAAACAAATCACTTGACAAGCAAACAAAAACCTCTTAGAATGGTTAGAGTCCTCAAAAAAACAAAACAAAACAAAAAACACTCTTATATCTTAATGTTTTTAGTCATACTCACCAGTCATTCTTCTTGGCTGGTTTTCACATTGGTGAAAGAACACCTCGTCTTTTGGTGCTATTTTCACTTTTTCGCATCAGTTTCTTCCTGTCTCTGGAACAACAAGCAAATCCTTTCTTTGGCGTAAAACAAAACAATTCTGCTCAGCATTAGGTCCTACAGACTCAGATATTTTCTCTGTGGTACTTATTCAAGGCATCTTCTCAACAGCAAGAGGATTCTGCCCTTAAGTCCTTTTTTATTTTTATTTTTTCCCCTCAGTCTTCAAATATCCTTTATTAGAAGACTAAGCATTATCTTCATTTATTGTAGTTCAAATCACATATAGTTATTACTTTTATATGAAAACACTGCTTGTATTTTCTTTTCTTTTTTTAAAATTTTTATTATTGGTTGTTCAAAACATTACAAAGCTCTTGACATATCATATTTCACACATTTGATTCAAGTGGGTTATGAACTACCATTTTTACCCCATATACAGATTGCAGAATCACATCGGTTACACATCCACTGATTTACATATTGCCATACTAGTGTCTGATGTGTTCTGCTGCCTTTCCTATCCTCTACTATCCCCCCTCCCCTCCCCTCCCCTCCCATC